CCTCAAAGAGTTGGCAGCTTTTTTTTTTTTTTTTTTTTTTTCTGTGAAGGGCCAGTAGTAAATGTTTTAGCCTCTGTAAGCCATTATAATTATTCAGCTCTCCCACTGTGGCACATGGACAGGGATAGACAATACATCCATGAATAATGTAACCATTCCAGCTTACACTTATAATAAGCCAAATTCAAGTCACTGCTATAGAGCACAAAAACTTATTCTTACCTAGTTGTGTTTTAGTACCCATTATCATCCTCCTGAGTACAACCTTTTAGCCTGTACAGACATCTACTCAATGTCTACTTATGAGTGAGAACCTAGTGTTTGAATTTCTGTGTTTGGCTTATTGCACTAAATATACTTTAGTCCATGTGGCTGCACATATCCAGCATATTGGTTTTCCCTCATCATCATTCAGAATTTGTTCTCTTTTCCAATGATGTGTCCTTACAGGACAAGCAGGAGGTAGTATTGTCATCTGAACCGCTGCCGTCCTGGGACTTTGTCTGTATGCAGTGCTTACTCCTCAGTACAAGAGAGTTGAGGGGAAATGAACACAGAATAAAAGAAAGAGTGCCGCTGTGCGTTTTGAGCAAAGTTAGGTAGCATGAACACTAGTTGTTGACACTTTGCTGCAATAGAATTGAAATTTCTAAAAAAGTTGCCTGGATTAACTGCAAGTTCTTTCATCTTGGCAAAAGTTCCATCATCTGAATCTCAAGGAAATGGCTTTGCCATTGTTTTGAAAAGGAAAAATAAATAAGCTGAAGTAAAAGCCATATAGACACATGTTCCCCTGTGATACATACAAAGTAGTAAGAGTGAATAGAACACAGCTATAGACCCTGTGGTCTATAGCAATAACATTCCTGCTTGGTATATTGGTGACCATCCACTATCTGATTGGATCTGAGGCCACTCCATAAGAAGGAAACCATCCCTGACACAGTGTGGATGGCTAAGAATCTGACCAATAGGCCTGGGGGAAAACCAAGTACTATTGTTTTGCTAAAGAACACAGCAATAAAATGACTTCTAACTGACATTGTACTACACTCCTATGTCTTAGGTTACTGTAGCTGTGGTGAAACACCATGACCAAAAGCAACTTGGAGAGGGTAGGATTTATATGACTTATACTTCCACATCACTGTATATCACTGAAGGAAGTCAGTACAGCAACTCAACAGGGCAGGGACATGGAGGCAGGAGCTGATGGAGGCTGTGGAGGAGGCCATTTACTGGCTTACTCATGATGACTTCTTCAGCCTGCTTTCTTTTCTCTTCCCCTCCCCTCTCCTTCCTCCCCTCCCCTCTCCTTTCCTCCCCTCTCCTCCTCTTGTCTCCTCTTCCCTTTTTCTTTTCCAAGACAGAGGTTCTCTGTGTAGCTTTGAAGCCCGTCCTAGCACTCACTCTGTAGACTAGGCTAGCCTCGAACTCATGTAGATCTGCCTGCCTCTGCCTCACAAGCACTGGGATTAAAGGCATGTGCCACCACCACCTGCGTCAGTCTGCTTTCTTAAAGAACTTAGGACCACCAGTCTAGTGTGCACTACCCACAGTGGGCTGGGCCTTCCCCCATTAATCATAATTAAGAAAATGCCCTACAGCTGGATCTTATGGAGGTATTTTCTCAATTGAGGTTCTCTCCTTTTGATGTAGGCTTTGTCAAGTTGACATAAAACTAGCCAGTACACCATTGGTCAGTGTCTTGCTCAGCCATCATCAGAGAAGGTTCTTCGAACAGTAGATGGGAACTAACACAGAGATCCACAACTGGACCGTGTACAGAGGATGATAGACTTTGGAACACTTAATGTCTTCATTAAGTCCCTCCCCTGGGGGCTGAGGGAGCTATGCAGGAGAGGAAGTGGAAAAGTTGTAAGAGCCAGAGGGGGTGGATGACACCAAGGAAACAGTGTTTTCCAGACACAACAGGACTGACTCACATGATGAACTCACAGAGACTGTGGCAGCGTGCATAGGGCCTGCACAGTTTCCATAGACTGGATGCCAGAGCTGAGAGGGAGAAGTGGGCATGAACTCCTATTCCTAACTAACAAGGCACTATCTCCAAATTGACAACCACTTGCAAAAAAGGAAAAACCAGTTTTCTGCAGTGGAGTCTCACTCCACTCACTGCCACTCTTGATGGCAAGCTCCATGCCAAGGTACAGAAGGCCAACACAAAATGAACTCAATGGTGTTTTTGTAGGGTTTTTGTTGTCTTTATCTCATGTTGCTTTGTTTGGGCATTTTTGGTTTTTTGTTTTGTTTTTTTTAATGTTACTAGTCTTTTGCTTGTATGCTATAGTTCCTGATTTTGTGTTTTTATGGTGTGTATGCACGTGAGTAATACTGGGAACTGAACCTAGGGCCTCACACACTACAATTGTATACTACAATTGAGGCGCATTCCCAGCCCTCCTTTTATAGTTGCTTTTTGTTTTGTCTTGTTTTTTTAACTTTTGAAACCATAAGTTGTCCAGCTTGTTTTAAACACAACCTATAGTCCATCAGGTAGATCTTAAACTTGTATCCCCTCCTCAGTGGTTGAAGTTACAGGCCTTTGCCAACAGGTCCAGCTAGCAAAATTATCAGTCTGTTACCCTTGCCTGTCTCAAATATTCATGTTACTAATATTTTTATGAAAAGACTATTTTTCAAATAGTCTTATTTTCAAGTAATTTTCCCTCAAAATTAAACATCACATCCTTCAATATTACATTTTATGGTTAATTATGTGAACGTTCTGGGAGCTTACCAGAAATGCAAATTATGGACTCTCACCAGACCTGTGCTTACACTTGACTAGTCAATCAGGAAACTGGGGTAAAGCTCTGGAATCTGGATCTTGACAAGTGTGGCTGCATTCTGATACACTCAAGTTATAGAACTTCTGGAAAGGGGATCTCTGTCGTTAATGGTAGGGAGTTTGTGTAGCATTCACAAGGCCCTGGGTAGACAGTTAAAAAAATAAATAAAAACAAACTATTGTTTTAAAGTTGGAAATACAAAGTGGAAGTTGCTTAGCAATGGTAACCTGCTGAAAACCAAACAATAACAACAACAAGAAGCAACCCAAGCATCATAGTACACACCTATAGCCTCAGTATGTGAGAGGCTAAAGCAGGAGGAGTGCCAGCTTGTGCTACAGGAAGTCCAGAAGACCTGCTAGCCCAGAGGAATTGCCATTAAACAAGTGTACGCCAGGCCTGTCTTTGCAGTTACACAAAATGCCTGAAATGTAACATCTGCAGAAATGAATGCTGCCCATTTACTTATTGTTAGACCTAAGGGTTGCTAGTAAAATTAGCAACTGTCATACTCTTTGGATGAATCTTACTTTCTATACTTGAGACAAAAAGATCTTTAATTAATAAGTTTGCTGAAATATTGAGCTGGGAACTCTTGTAAGAAAAGGTAGCAAAGAACACAGATCAGACTTTGGCATACTGTTCATTTCACAGCCAAGAAAAATGTAGGCAAATTGCTAGTCTAAGCACTGTCTCTTATCCCCATGTAAACATTTTATGTTACATTTATGGCCCAAGTATACTAATAGAAATTTTGAAGTGCTTGATTGCCTGCTTCCCATTTTTGTTGTGGCATGTTGTTTTCAGTCTCCTTTCCTATAGAGTAGTCCTGCTGTATCAAAGCTATAGCTGCTGTGCCTAACTATTGTTAGGTAGAGCCACATTGACGCTGTGGTCAGGCCTTCTTGATCATTCTGCTAACTATTGGGTGACACATCCCGGTGTGTTTTAAGAATTTTAATGAAGGGGCTGGAGAGATGGCTCAGCAGTTAAGGGACTGACTGCTCTTCCAGAGGACCTGACTCCAATTCCCAGCACCTACAAAGCAGCTCACAACTGTCTGTAACTCCAACATCTGACAGCCTCACACAGACAGAACACCAATGCACATAAAATAAATAAATTATTTTTAAAAGAATTTTAATGAAGTGCTTTCAGAATGTTGTTTAAAAACATTTTTTTTTCCAGCTGGGAATGGTAGTATACACCTGTGCTCGTAATATTCAGGAGGCCAATGGTGACAGCTCACCTTGAATTCAAGGCTAGCTTGGTCTATGTAGTAAGTTCCTGGTTAGCCTGGGCTTGTCTTTTAAAAAAATTAAGTAAACAAACAACCAAATAATAACAAAATAATATTAAATAAAAAGATTCCTTTGTCTTTATTCTATGTGTACCGTACCTGTGGGTGTCTGCATATATTTATGTGTCACATGTGTGCCAATACCCTTGGAAGCCAGAAGAGAGTGCCAGATCCTCTGGAACACAGGCAATTGTGACCCACCTCATGTGGATGCTGAGAACTGACCACAAACCCTCTAAAGAAAGTATTCTTAACTGCTGAGCCATCCTCTCTAGCTCCTAAAATAATCTTTTTTGAAAACATTTTTAAAACATTTTTTCCAGAGGCAAAGAACTCTATGAGACACATATTGCTATTTTCCTATGTTAATATTGTGTCATATTGCCCTCCTGAATAGTTTGTAGTTAAACAGATGTTATCCATTGGGATAATTTGACATCACTGATAGAAATTTGTTTTTGAAAAAAAATTATTTTATTTTGCCATTAAAATTCAATTACCAGAAATTGTTATTCTAATGGATTGTTTTAATGATTTTCATAAATATCTTCCTTTTTCCCACTTGATTACTTTTCTACAAAGACAAAATAGTAAAGGAATGAATGATCTGTAGGTAAGAGTAGCATATGATATGATCAAGAACGTATGACAAGCCAAGCAATGATGGCACATGCCTTTAATCCCATGCAGGAGGCAGAAGCCTCATCTACAGAGTGAGTGCCAGGACAGCCAGGGTTGTTACACAGAAACTCTGTCTTGAAACCACCCCCACCAACCCCCAAGTCCCCGCCCAAAAAAAAGTATGACAAATGAACATAGCATCTCCCTTTCCCCAGTAATAGATGCAACCAGATTTATGTTTAAATGGTTGTTTCTTCCCTCCTTAGCTAAAAGAATTGGGACAAATCACGTGACTTCCTACGCTGTGAACCATGGCACTGCCATTCCGGAAGGACTTAGCAGAGTATAAGGACCTGGATGAAGATGAGCTCCTTGGCAATCTGTCAGAAACAGAACTGAAACAGCTCGAAACCGTCCTGGATGATCTTGACCCTGAGGTTGGTGCTAGCCGAAGAAGAGAAATATAGTAGTTTTTTAGACTGCCATCTTGCTTTCTCATGGCTTTCCCTGGTATTTTGCTTCTTCTCCAGGTCTCCACATCTTATGACAGACATTCTAAACTATTGTAAACATCTATACATTTTTTTTCCTCAATTACAAATTTCCCTCTGTGCAATTAAAAGTAGTAATAGCTAATTATCTCTTTAATTTATGCTAATGTGTTTCTCCTCAGAGTTCCTGTACCAGGCTTGTGCTAGTATACTATGCCTCTACAATGTTCTTAAAGGCCTAAACCAAATTATAATGGTACTTGAGAAAGGATGACCAAATTGTGTGAGTTATTAGTATTGGTAGACCAGTTCTAAGATGCAGATATTTCTTAACAATGCTCTTGTGTCCCTGATAAACCCATCCTAGGTTACAAATATTATACATTGAAGTGCATTTAATATACCTAGCCTACCAACAGCATAAATTTGCATAGCCTCCCTAAAGTGTGCTCAGAATACTTAAATAACATTTGGGGAAAATCATCTAATGTAAAGCCTACCTTGTAATAAAGTATTGAATGCAGCATGTAAGTGTGTCCTATACTGAGATAGGACAGACAGACAGACAATAGAAGGAAAGGAGTGAAGGAAGGAAGAAAACAAAGGAAAGAACGAATGAATGAATGAATGAATTGCGGTTATCATGAGCTTTTAGGGTAAGGAGAGGTACTGGGAATTAAAATCCGGACCTCTAGCATGCTAAAAGTGTGCTTTATAAGATTGTTTTTATTGATAGGTGGTATGGCTACACCATGCATAGGTCAAGTCCTTTACCATAATTACTATTACAACGAAAAGTTCTCCTACTAAGTCTAAGGGATTGCTCAGGATAACGGAGCTGTCAACAATATATTTGGCAGTCAAATAGTGAGACCAATTTAAATCAAATGGTTTAAGAACTAGAAAGCATGTAAGAGACTTATCTAGCCTGGATTGATTGATTGATTGATTGATTGTTTGATTGTTTGGACCTGAACTGACAGGATATTTAATCACACTTTGCCTCAGTAGGCAAAATCTCCATTGGGGAGCAGTCTTCCGGCTGTGATTATCCTAGGAGAGAAAACTATAGTGGACATTTTTGTGTACACTGTCAGCATCCACACAAGAAGCAGAAGGGAAGGGCTCACCATTTACTTCTAAGCCCCACCACCAAGGAGAAGGCCTTACCATTTCCTCCCTATGTCTAAGACTATGGGGTCCTTGACAGGGCCATGCCTATGTCAACAACACACATTCACTCAAGACTTCACTCACTTAGGACTTCCCTCTGCTCCCTACACTCAGGTGTGTGCTCTGTATTAAGCTCCATTCCCCAGCTCAGTAAATGCTTGAGGGACAGCCGGCAGTTCATGGTTAGTATGCTACACTTAGGAAAAAGAAGAGTGAACAAATCAAATGTAGTTTTTGCCCCCATTCTGCAGGCTGGTAGGAATGGGGAAAACTAGACTTGCCTCAGATAACAAAACTGTGTTAAAAGAATGATGAGTACTGTAGACAGTAACTTATGAATGAGACATCAGGAAAAACTTTTCTTGGGGCTCAATGCTACAGTCTTAAGAAGGAGTAACTGGAAAAGATGGACAGAACCTTCAGGGAAGTGATCTCCATATTTCACATATTTAAAGGTTATGGCTAAAGGAGGTGTATGACAAGAGCAAGGAAGGAAATAGTTCAGTGTATCAAGAATGGAGGTGTGAGCCCAACGTGGCCTAACAGATTGAGGGGTATGAAGGGAGGATGAGAGCAGGCACCTGGTGTCCTGAGGTCAGTTACGCTAATGTAATATTCCAGCCAAGCTTGTCTCAGAGCTCGCACCCAAGTCATGGCAGCAGGATGGGAAAGTGATGATTGCATTCTTTGGGAAGTAAAACTGGATAAACTTGCAGGCTGAATGCATTCTTTGTCATTCTTCTCAGATTTCAACATCTAAAGGTAGAAATCTCCTGTTCATTCTTTATAGTTCACAGTCAGGTCAGGTCCCTCCCCCCCCCTTTTTTTTTTTTAAGACAGGGTTTCTCTGTGTAACTTTATAGACCAGGCTGGTCTCAAACTCACAGAGATTCGCCTGCCTCTGCCTCCTGAGTACGGGGACTAAAGGTGTGTGCCACCACCCAGCCACAGTCAGTTTCTTAACTAAATACATGCAATATTCAGGGTTGGGAACAGACCTTTGTGGTTACTTTTTCTAAGTGATGAGTATTGTATGAAAACTGTTGTGAGTTCAGGAAATGGCCAAAGTGTAAACATGATATTTTTAGTTATGAAGCAATCATTTCCTATTATTGTTCATAGAAAAATCAACTTTTGTAATGAAAATATATACCATCTGTGAGGTTGAACATCACTGCTAGTAATAGGAGGTATTGCCTTCCCTGGCAGCCTCAATTGTAGAGCAAGGGATACTCAAGAATATATTGCAAGGCAGCCTGTCTTATGTTTTGTTTGTTTGTTTTTTTAATTTTGTTTTGGTTTTGTTTGTTTGGTTGGTTTGGATTTTTTGTTTTGTTTGTTTGTTTGTTTGTTTGTTTGTTTTTTGTGTATACAGTGTTCTGTCTGCAAGTATTCCTGCAGACCAGAGGAGGGCACCAGATCTCATTACAGTTGTGAGCTACTATGTGGTTGCTGGGAATTGAACTCAGGTCCTCTGGAAGAGCAGCCAGTGCTCTTAACTGAGCCCTCTCTCCAGCCCCTGTCTTATGTTTTTTAAGATAAGATTGACCTGGCTGTGACCTCGGGATCCTCCTGTCTCTGCCAAGTGCTGAGAGTACAGGCATGCACCCCCATGCCTGGTTGAGGCTGACTTTTAACAAGCAGGATGGTGCTCACTTTTATCACTCTGTTCTTCCTGGCCTTAATGCACATTTGAAGTCCTGACTTCATGGGGCAGCTTCAACTATTTCTCCCCTTTCTGCTTTTAGTCAGTCCACATGCTCAAGGCTGTCTGTGTGCACACCAAAGGACTTAGCTCTTCTGCATCTCAGGGTGCCATGAAGCGTGCATTGCAGTGACAGTAATTGCTACTAGCGTATACTAACATTCATGTGTACATATGGACACATATACAGTGAATGGTTTGTACTAGATTTAAATCAAGTGCTAGGTACTGGGAATTGAACCCAGGTCCTGGAAGAACAGCCAATGTTCTTAACTGCTAAGCCATCTCTCCAGCCCCTTACGTACATATTTACTGGCCATTTATTAAGCATTAAGAAAATTGTTGCTGTTGTTTGGACTTGTGGGCCAGTGGGGTCAGGCAGCAGTAAAGGCAGTTACAGTAAGTCTGACAACCTATGTTAAGATTCCAGTGGAAGGAGGGGACCAACTCCCAAAAGTGGTCCTCTGATCTCTACATACATGCCATGGCACAGACATTCCCCTATACCCAAAATCAATAAATTCATGTTTAAATGGAAAAAAACACTTTTTGTAATACATCCCACATGACTATCCTAAAATCCTGCAAGGAGGTGTTCAGTGCCTGTGCCATGCTAGCTTCATGGCCATTCTTACATGGAAATCTATAGAAGCATATAGTATTGGCATTCTTGGTAGTTTGGTGGTCATAATGGCTGACTCGTTCTCTTTGGCAGAATGCCCTTCTGCCTGCAGGGTTTCGACAGAAGAACCAGACATCAAAGTCTGCCACGGGACCCTTTGATAGAGAACGTCTGCTTTCTTATCTAGAGAAGGAAGCATTGGAACATAAAGACCGGGAAGACTATGTGCCCTACACTGGAGAGAAGAAAGGTGAGTCAGGATTGTATGTCATTCAGCAGCTTTGGCTTCTTGTTACAATGGATACCCAAGGAGAAAATTGTTTTTAGATGTACATAACCAGCAGCCTTTAAAGATATAATACTGTCTATCTAAAAGTTTACCAGGTAGTTTAGACACTTCACTTACTTTTTATCAACTTATCCAGTGAGATTTTTTGTCTTAATTATTCATTAGTGAGGTTTTATTACAGAACACAGAAACTTTGTATAACATTACTTCACACTACAAGTTGTTGAAGCAAATTAAAAACCTTTAGTTTATTACAGAGTGCAAGCAATGGCAAAGGAATGCTTTTTCCTAACCCTTTAAAGTCTTTAGAGCGAAATTCCATAAAATAGTTTTTATTTTTAAAAGATAGCCTTCCTTAGTTGTCTTCCATCATAATTTTGTTTGCTAATGTTCCCTATGGTGAGTTTGAGGAAATTTGTCTAGTCTGAGCTCTTTGATATTGTAGTATCTAAATATTCATTTACTTACGTTTATCTTCCTTACTCAATAAACAAGAACAAGCAATACATGAAGATGTGGCTTAGACTGAACTTGCTTTTCAGAGTGAAAAAGTTTGCTAGCTGAAGTTGCATCACAAGAAGTAGTGGCCAGAATAAATAACTCAGAAGTAGGGCACATGTGAAGAAACAGGAGGCAGGGAACTCAGGACAGACAGTAGACTTTAAAGGACAACTAGATAGCAAATTCTGCAAGACAGCTTAGCTTATGTGCAGGTTATACTATAGAAGTTATAGTAAAGGCTGGAGAGATGGTTCAGACCACTTGCTGCTGTTCCAGAGGACCTGTATTCAATTCCCAGCATCCATGTTGTACAACTCACAACTGCTTGTACCTCCAGCCCCAAAGACTCCAACACCCTCTTTGGTCTCTGAGGGAACCTGCACTCACTTGCACATATACCCCCCTCAAACACATAATTAAATATTATCAAAGTACATAAAACAAGAGCCAAGTATATGAACATATAGGGCACAATTATGTACATATTGATATAATAAAAGCAGTTTGTTTTTTTAATTTGAGAGTTTCTTTTTTAAAATATGTGTATGTGCTTGTATCTGTGTATGTTTTATGTAGCCATGTGTAAGTGTTCTTGTGAAGCCAGGAGAGGAAGTTGTGTAGCTGCAATTGTGAGCCACCCATTATGAGTGCTGAGATTTGGCTCCTTTGAAAGAGCAGCAAGTGCTTTTAACCACTGAACCATCTCTCCAGCCCTAAATCTGCTTTTTTGCCTTTATTTTTGCATTCACTCATTTATTTTCTGTTTGTGTGTGTGGATGTATGTGTGGGTGAGTGTGCATGTGTAGGTCAGAGAACAGTGTGAGGGAGTGGGTTTTCTCTTTCTACTTTGTGGGTTCTAGTTGTTGAACTCAGGTCATTAGACTTTGTGGAAAGCATCCTAACCTGTGAACCATCTCTCTGACCCATGAAAGCCATTTTGTAAATTACCCAGCATCCTTGTAAGACAACATTTAGGTTACCTAGTAGGGAAGAATTATGGTGGCAGGTTTGTTATTCTTTGGTTTGGGTTTTTGTTTCTTAAGATAGTGTCTTGATACTCTAAACTGGCCTGGAACTAGCTGAGGTTGATCTAACCCCTGTGTAATCTTCCTGCTTCAGCTTCCCAGAGTGCTGGGATTACAGGTGTGAGCCACCATGCCTCACTAAGAATTGTTTTTGTTTGTTCTTTTTTTGCAGTGCTAGAGATTAAGCTAGTGGTTCTCAACCTTCCTAATGCTGTGATTCTTTAATACATGTTGTGGTGACCCCAATCACAAGATTATTTTTGTTGTGACTTCATAATTGTGATTTTGCTACTGTTGTGAATCATAATGTAAATATCTATGTTTTCTGATGGTCTTAGGGGATCCCTGTGAAAGGCACATTTGACCCCCAAAGGCTTACAACCCACATATTGAAATGACTGGATTAAGCCCAAGTAGGCTTAATTGTGCATGATAAACAAAAACATTCCACCATTGAGCTACATCCCCAGCCCTTTAAGTGCATTTTTTATGGGCATCTGTTCAGTTCATTTAACTCTAACAAGCTCCTTTAGAAATACTGTCATGATATGAAATGATATTGACAGATGAATACAAATAACTTATTGTGATTCTAAATGTTTAAAATTAAAATTGTAAGTGATTATTACTTTTATTTATAAATTTTCATTAAAATGTGAAAAAGACATGGGCTTTTGCCTCTTTAAACTTTTGCAGAATAGTGGTAGGCATATAGCTCAGTTGGTAGAAGCTTGCCTGTCATATAAGAGACCCTGGGCTCAATTCCCAACACTAATGAGCCAGGCGTGGTAGTGTCGTCTATAACCCTGACACTGAGAAGTGGAAGCAAGAGACTCAGGGGTATGAGGCCAGCCTGGGCTACATGAGACCCCATCTCTTACCACATACATATACACACAAATAAATAAAATTGAAAAATGGGTAGCTGGGGATAGTCAAAGACAAGGATGAATGAAAGTATTTATCTAGCTCTTTCCAAAAACGATGAACGTACACAGTGGTGACTATGGCTAAGTATTTCCCATCATACTTCTCCGTGTCATCAATAGTCTGTCTCAGAATTAAATAAAGCATAGAGCTGTCCCATGAATTTATCACTCAGATAAACTTTGTGCCCAGTCTTTAATATTTCTGTCTTTCATGTTGCTTTGTTGTGAGAATCCTTCTCCATTCTGTTCATGTCATGCTTCACTTTTATCTGGACTGTTTTTTTTTCCTACGTCCATTATTTCAATGCCATGACTTTAATCTGTTTGCTGCAGATAGGTGTGTTCCATTGGATTGTTTGAACTCTGACTCATCAGGGATGGGCTCCTCCCATTCCTTGGGGAACACTCCTGTTCTCTTCTAGTCCTTGGGGTAGAGCCCTCTGCACTTTATTGTTCTTTTTTCCTTTCCAACTCTGAGAATATAATATCCTCCTTGGGTTCCTTCCCATGATTCCCATACACTGCACCTTGCTTCCTAAAGGTGAGTTAACCAGCTTGTCTTAAATCAATAGCTTTTAAAATTTATTTATTTATTTATTTATTTATTTATTTATTTATTTATTTATTTATTGTTTTCTCTGTGGTTTTGGAGGCTGTCCTGGAACTAGCTCTTGTAGACCAGCCTGGTCTTGAACTCACAGAGATCTGCCTGCCTCTGCCTCCCGAGTGCTGGGATTAAAGATGTGTGCCACCACCGAGCAGCAAGTCAATGGCTTCTTAAATATGCTTCAACTCACCTGCTGTTGCCTCAGCTTTCCAGATATCTTGTTGTATTTTCCATTATTCTTAAAGAGACTTCCAGCATCTCATTGAGTATGTGACTTCTTTGAAGACCATTTGACTCTTGAGCAAGAAAGAAAAATGTACTTAGATGTCTTTACAGCGGCTGTATGCACAGGTTTTGGTGGTGTCTGAAGTTCTGTATCAAAGATTTAAACTCTCATGGTTACTTGTTTTGTTTCATTTAGTAGGACCAATTTCATACTGGCTCCAGAGATCATTTTTCCTGATGTAGTCACTGTTTATATTTTCTACAGTGTAAAAAATTAATTTCAATTTAAAAATTCCAGTTCTGGATTTTGTTAAACAAGGAAATTAAAGTCAGTCAGATGGAGAGCACTTGCATTCAAATGTACATTGCCACAAGTGCTCGCGCACACGCACGTGTGCACACAACGTAATTAAAAATAAACTGGTGTCTAAAAAAACATATTTTGTTATTGAGACTATATAAAAGGAAATGCCTGTGCCATAAAAGTCTCTCCATTTAAGGTATATAATTCAGTAATGTTGATCATATTCATAGACTTGTGCAAGAATCTCCACAATCTTTAGTCTTCAAAATGCCCCAAAGTAAGCTTGTATCCTTTGTGTCAATCACTCTGCCATGTTCCCCTTTCTACTCCATAGCAATAGGCAGCCACTAACTTACTCTCCGGCTCTGTAGAATTGTTGGTTCTGGATACTTCACATCAGTAGATATATAACATGAGCTGATGACTGCCTTCTTTCACTTAGCATGTGCACTCTACAACGGAACTACATTCCCAACCCTTCATTCCTTTTAATAGTAGAATTTTACTGTTATATTTTGTTCTCTGACATTAGGTTGTTTCTGAAATTTAGTTATTAATATGCTGCAATGAATATTGTGTACAAATGGCTGCTGTTCCTTTTAGTTTTTGGTTTTCTAAGACAGTTATATGCTATAGCCAAGGTTGACCCCAGACTCCTAGGGATCCTCCTCCTTAGGCTTCCAAGCACTGGGATTACAGGTGTGAGTCATTATACCAGCTTTCTGATTGTTTTGAATTAATTCTTGTGGTAGGGGTGGGTGGCCAACTTCATGAGATTTTGTACACGACTGTCTACTTATCTTTCTCAATTGAATTGTCATTATGTCCTTGTAGATAAATCAATTGCCCAAGTATCACACTTTACTTATAGATCTATTCCATTGATCTAAATATCTTCTATACAACAATACCGCTTAATTATAGGAGGTGTGCATGAAATCTTAAAATGGTCAAGTGTGAGTACTCTGGTGTTGTTCCTTGTCAAGGTAGTAGCATGGCTATTCTGGCTAACTTAAATTTCCATATGGCTGTTCAAGCTTACATATGTTTACATTTTCAGCCTAGCTTGTCACTTCATGTAAAGTGACCATTTAGGATTTTGAAAAAGACTGAAGTCAATAAATAAATTTGGAAAGATTCCACAGATTTTGTATTATAGAATAAGCATAGATTCTAATTTATACTTTCTTATAAAATTAATCTCTTAATTATTTATTAGTGGTAAAGTACTCAAAAAGGAAATATGAAGTAATTGCTTTTTTTATTATTGAATAGGAGTTGTCTTTTCTATTTTTTGCCCTGTTTTCTTCTGGTCCCACTGATCCAACTCCTGACTTCAGACATTAGGCAAGCCAGTGTGGCTGAGCCAA